CGGGAATAACATTCCCTTGCATTACAGACATTCGAACTCTTTCTATTTAACCACTCTAATTACAAGTAACCATCCTTGTTTTTGTGCCAGCTGCATATCCAGGATTCATTATGTTCTCAACAGACTCAGAGGTCTCTCAAGGTTATTTCAACCGTTCGCTCTCCACAGGGTCTTTTGGAAGAGACTTAAAAATATATCCCTCTGTCGGTCATTGGGAATGTTATTGAACTCCCTGCTCTATATCTTGGTGGCATTGATTTCCTTCTCCATCCTTCAGACATTTTCAAACAGTATTCATCACAACTTACTCATGTTTTTAAAATCAATTTTGTGAAATACACTCTAGGATAGAAAAGTGTCTGAGTACCACACAACTACAAAGAGTAAAGGGCTTTACTGAGAAAGGGTAATAATGTATTATATTATTGTTAATTGTAGTCAGAATATGTAAGGCATTTTTTAGATGAGTAATCCTTTTTTGGTTGATAAATCTGCATAGTCTTTATCAGCCTGAGCTACTGACTAATTAATATAGTAATAATACACCTAAAAAATTCTTATTTTGAATAACTTCTATGTTGTATTTCATTATTGTTTAGATATTCAAATAGTTAAGAATTTCTGATGCTATGGCTCAGTAATAAAGAACTTCGAGATAGACTCCAAGAGACAGGTCTTTTAAATCTAATCCAGGGCCAGTGGCACTGACCTTTATTTAATGTGCTTTTACCAGGGTGATGGACAGTGCCAATAGTGGAATTCTGGTATTTCCCCTTTTCTGGGTATGTCTGAGTCCTCCCTCCTGAGGAACAAGACTTCTCACTCTTCAGAGTGATCCTGTGCCTCCTTCTACACTTTCTGTTCTGGGTGGCTCCAACCCAGAACAGAAATTGAAATTGAGTCCACATCTTCCATATTCTTTGTGACTCGCATGTCTTCCTTCTCCATGTGACACCAGACACTACTTCATTTGCATTTTAGCAAAGAGCTGCTGAGTTTAGATCATAGAAATGACAATGCATGCAATCTAGGAAGAGGACAGACTAACCTGAAAGAGCCAGAGAAGATTCAAACTGTGGTATATGACAGACTAAACTAGGTAGAGATGAGACAGGTACAGTGAAGCAAGAAATAGAGGGCATAGATTCTCTGAAAAAAATTCTAATCAGCAAGGAGCTTACACACCTCAACAGAAGAAATAAAGATCAAGGCTGGCTAATTGCTGACATGTTGGAACTAGCTGAATGGGTGTTCCTGGTCCTGATTGTCGCTCAGTTTATCCTTGGAAATCTGGGGAATGGTTTCATTGGGTTGGTCAATGGCAGCAGCTGGTTCAAGAGCAAGAGAATCTCTTTGTCTGAGTTCATCATCACCAACCTGGCCCTCTCCAGGATCATTTCGCTGTGGATTATCTTCATTGATGGTGTTTTAATAGTTTTCTTTTTCCACTTGCATGTTTCAGGGACACTAATGCAAATCATTGATACTTTTTGGACATTTGTAGACCACCTGAGCATTTGGTTTATCGCTTGTCTGGGTATCCTCTACTGCTTGAAAATTGCCAACTTCTCCCACCCCATATTTTTCTGGCTGAAGTGGAGAGTTTCCAAGGTAGTTGTATGGATGCTATTGAGTGCACTGCTCTTTTCCTGTGCCCGTACTATGTCTCTGATCAATGAATTTAAGCTCTATTTTGCCTGCAGTGGAATTGACAGCAAAGGAAACATGACTGAATGCTTCAGAGAGAAGAGACATGAATATGACCTGATGCATGTTCTTGGGAATCTGTGGAATCTCCCTCCCTTAATAATGTCTCTGATCTCCTACTTTCTGCTCCTCTTCTCTCTAGGGAGGCACACGCGACAGATGGAGCAAAATGGTATCAACTCCAGAGATAAAAGCACTGAGGCTCACAAGAGGGCCATCAGAATCATCCTCTCCTTCCTCTTATTCTTCCTATTTTACTTTATTTCCTTTTTAATTTTTTCATTCAGTCGTTTTGTACCTCAATGTAAGATGTCTGTGATGATTGGTGAGGTAATTACAATGTTGAATCCTGTTGTCCACTCATTTATTCTAATTCTGGGCAACAAAAAGCTGGAACAGGCATTTTTGGTGATGTTCCCATGTAAGTTTGGTCATCTGCAGCCTGGATCTACAGAACCCTTTTCCCCATAGAATAACAGAGGGTGTAGGATGGACCCCAGGAGTCCTTTGGGCTGGCTCAAGACTAAGGGCTCTCTCTTGCTGATCCTCCCATGGTACCAGTTCTGTCCCATCAGTAGCAGAGAAACATTGCTTCCTTCACCCTTGCTCCTACCTGGTTCTAGGCAAAAGCACCATTTCCCACAACCTTTCTCTAAAGCATTGTTTTGGAGTAGTAAAACAGTCTTGGGAAATGTCAGTGTAGTAAGAATGCTCACAGTACAGAGCTGGAGCTGTATTTTAATAACCATCAGCTTAACATAATGAGTCTGAATATTAGTTTCAAATTTAATACTGATGTAAATAAAATAAGAGCTGTTGACATCAGGGAAAGATCAAAAGCTTTGCAGTTCTGTAGATGTACACTTGAATTCTGGTTATTGTCAACTTTTAAAGATTGTTGGCCTTAGATGAGTTACTTTACTTGTCTGATGGTGTCTTTTCTCACCTTAAAATATAACATTAACTTTGCAGCATATTAGAAATTCATAAGACAATGCGTGCCAGCATTTTAGTACAGTGTATTGTATCAAGTGCTGAATTAAGTGAAGCCTCATATTTCAACTAACAGTGGTTGTGCAGCAACAACAATTCCCACAAGATATCTATCTTCACAAAACAATTATTGGATGAAGAAAGCAGTGGGATGAAAATGAAGACCCTGGTATTTTATTATCATTTTACTAAAGTAAATTTCCAAGGAATTTTTAAATTTTTTTAGATTGGACAAAAGACTAAATATGCCTGTTGGGAGCAATGCTACATAATTTTAGGGAAAAATCATTTGGTTAGGCCTAGGTCTCCTGCCTACAGCCCAGCTATGGCATTCTGAGACATAATTCCATTTTGGCTGCTGGTCACAACTGAGACCTCAATGATCTGGTGATGCTGTGATTCTCCAGGACAAGATTACACCAGCTGAAGACATCCTGGGAGGAACAAAAATCTTCATCTAGTCAGTTCCTCATTGTTTTTGGATTGTTACACTTTGTTTATGCTGATGTACTGAACTCTCTGCAAGTCATTTGTTACATTTGTTTCTCTGGATGAACTGAATAAAAGGTGCCGTAAGCTGGGGGCTTTCGCCTTTGCTGCCCAGAGCAGCACTGATCAGGCCCAAAGTTTAACTTCTCCAAGTCTCATTTTTCTACCTTTCCTGCATAATAAGTTAATTTGCCTTGTGCTGCCATGGCTCACAGGAGACTAGGGCTCACTGCAGAAGTTCTAGTAATGTCCCCCTTCCCTGTTCCTTACGTATGCCTGCTTGTCCTCTTATCTCTCCTCCCTCCGTTCTTTGTACCGAGATGCATATTTGTTTTTAAAATTACAGTTTTATCACATGATATATACAGTTTGTAGCTTAATTGATACTATTTAAATAGAAATACAAAGGGATTGATTTTCCTATCATTGTACAATTTTGACAAGAAAATGAGAATATTGTTTAATATGAAGAATTCTTAAACTTTTCAACACATTCAGTGTGACACAGCATTTTTGAATGTGAATTTCTAGCACTAATGTGGCTGTAAACCATGGTGGACCTTTTAGAGCTTTCAGTGGTAAACAGCTGGCTGTGGCACATGTCCCATCCATTCAGCAGCAGTGCTTTCAAGTGTCAAGAGTTATAATTGTGAATAAGGACCTGAAAGCCCAAACAGCCTAGGCTCAAAATCCTGGCCCTGGCCCTTATGAACTGCATGATCTTGAGGAAAGTTCTTAACATCTCTACATTTTGCTTTCCTCATTTGTAAAATGGAAATAGTAATATTGTTTGTATAGGGGTGTTAGAAGGAATTAATGAGTTAGCACATGAATAATGTTTAGAGTACTTCATGGAATAAACAATAAATATTACAATGATTGTTTTTGTTTTTTTGTGAAGGGAGGTACAGTTTGATCTAGCATGAAGGATCATCACGTTACTTGACATTTAGTCATATGAAACCAGATTAATTTTAGGACTTTTTCTGGGATATAAACATTTATTTTTAAAATTACAGGAATGTAAAAATGTCTTTTAAGTTGATGCTTGCCTCTTGAAGCTGCTAGGAAAATTCCTAATTTTTGACTCAATCTAAAGTTCCCTGTAGAAAAACTAACTGCTGAAAACTAAAGAATAATTAAGATTCATTCATAATTCAAAAATAAAAGGAATCCTATAACTGGTATTTCTCTCCACCTCATAGTTCTGTAATTAATAAAAATCTGTGTTTATTTTCAGCATGGAAGTTTCACTATGGAAATCCATGCTGTCTTGATTGGCATCTGCTTTGTCCACCCTGACCCCATGCTCTATAACTCAGCCTCACCCACTCTGGAACTTGTTCCTACTTTTTGTTGTTTTGACAACTTCTCTTCCTACCTCTGACTTTATGGTTCTCTAAACCTAACCTGAGCTCCCAATTTTGCCTAATTGGTTAAGTGTTAGGATTTTCCTCTTATTCAGTCAAACATAGCACCTCACTAGAGGTTTGGTTTAGCTGATCATTAGCTATCTACATTTCACTGGCTCCTGAAGTGTTAGTGCAAGGTGCAGAATTTTCTGCAAGGGAGTCTGATGTGAAAACTCATTTGGTCCTAGAGAGGAAATGTGGTATGCCCACTCCATTCCAGATTCCCACTTTCAGAGAAGTTTGGAGGTGACCCCCAGGAAATATAATCAGATATGATTTCCTGACTTCGGCTGCATGTGGACTGAAAGTTGGGTGGAAGTGGGGATTTGGGTCTGGTTGGTGGATGAGTTGCTGAGGCAAGGAGTTTCATTTATTGCTAGAGGCATAATGATGGGAAGTCTAGCTATTTTGGAGAGGATTTGGTCTTTGAAATCCATTAGGGGTAGTGCCTAATCTGCAAGCTCCTCACCAATCCCAGGGAAGATCATTACTTAGGCCCAGTTTTTAGAAGTCTTAACAATACCATCTTTACTTTTAATTAATTGGCTTCCATTTGCAAACCCCTTAAGATTTGCCCCCCACCCCATATGTGTGATTGAGCCTTTTCTGTGAGCTACATTCTCCAGCCCTTATTTTTTTTTTTTTTATTTTGAAATAGGATCTCACTAAGTTGCCCACACTGGGATGGAATTTACAATCTTCCTGCTTCAGCTTCCCAAGTAGCTGGGATTACAAGCATTGTGCCACTGTGCCAGGTAACCCCTTAAGATTCTACCTTGAAGCAAAGTATGAGCATATGAATTGCCTTTGGATTTGGAGTCCAATTACATCCCTAAAACACATGTTTTCTCCAGAAGCATTTATTCTTTGATATATTGTTGGAGCTTTAACACATGAGTCAACATCAATTTCTGACAGTGGCTCATGAGACCTTCCAATTGTCCATCAGAGTCCTAACTTCCTTGTATGGCAGCTGTGAAAATAGGCTTCTCGGATAATGATGGCCCTGTTTATGTATTTCATTCTATTTACCTGTTTAACTGATCTGAGCATTAGTTTTGTATAAAAATCTTCTATAAGGCCCTAAGCTCCAGCTCACGGGATTTCCCCCAGGCTTACCATCTTGTCATGTCTTAAAGGTCTTCTTTGGGACCTCTTTATCATATCTTGGCTCCTTCCTGTCTATTTGTTTGTTTTTAGTACCTGGGATCGAAGTCAGGTCCTTGCACTTGTGAGGCAGGCGGTGGAACCACTGAGCTAAATCCCTGGCCCCTTCCTGTTTATTTGTATTTGTGCTTCATCTTGATGTGACTTTGGAAAATGTATTTGGCCATATCCAGGATTACACCTTGGCTTCAAGGTGCTTGGTTTCTACCTTCCAGAATAGATAAGAGAGCCCATACTCACTCTTGCACTTATTTGTGGTTCTCCATAATATTATTTGCTAGGCATATTGTACTCTTTATTATCTGAGCAATTAGAAAGAAATCAGGTAATGAAATGACAACTGTTTGGTCCCAAAAATTATAACTAAGGCATGTGTACTCTTACTAGAGTACATTGACTGACAGAGCCTAAAGAAAAATAGTCACATGTGATTTAAGCATGGATATAGATTTATAAAGGAAACATATGAAAGGGCTTTGCTTTTGGTGTGCAAAAACAACACACCAATTAACATGGCACAATTTATGTATATAGCTAGTGAAGAAATGCAGAGAAATTATCATGAAAGGAAGAGATTAAGTGAGATGGAGTCAGGTCCTTGAACTTGATCTATTAGATAATAGTAAATCACTGAAGGTACTAAGGGATAAAGGAGAGGCATTGGCATGGCCAAAATGAGAATTAGAGAAAATGACTGCAGCATGAACAGTTTACGGAGGTGAGAGAAGTTGGATTCAGGTCATCCATGGATATGTGAATGGAAAGTGGGTGGGTAGGAGGGACATGAGGATTCCCACCATATTCTGTGGTTTCTTTGAAGAGAAACTGCTATAGAACAGCAACAGACACAATGTTGGACTAGAGCTTTCTGATTTGAAGTTCTTAGAGCCTCCATGTCTCCCTCTAACCACTCTGCTCTTGGAAGAAGGGACTCCCAGGTTCTCCCAGGCTTGTTTTATGGTAATCAGGCATTTCTAAGAAAAAAGGAATAGGAGTGAAGAAACAATAATGCAATCCTTGGGAGATTTGCATCTCAGTAAAAGCAGCTGGCTTTTAGACCACACATGGCTCATTTGCTATGTGGAGGAGAAAAAAAAAGGAGACATGCTTCCTAGCCGGATATTGGTGTGTGCTTATACATTTCAGTATTTCTCCTGGCCCACCATCAACACCACCCCTGCTGAATCCTCCATGAGTGAAGATGCTTCAGGTGGTCTACTTTTTTTTTATTATTACCTCAGTTGTTTTAAATTGTGTAGGGATGATTATGAATCTGCTTATTACAGTGGTCATTTACAAGACCTGGGTTAAAAGTCATAGAATCTCTTCTTCTGATAAGATACTGTTCAGTTTGGGCATCAGCAGGTTTCTTATGCTAGGATTGTTTCTACTGAACCTTTTCTACTTCATTGTTTTAAATTCTGAAAGATCAGTCTACCTTTCCATATTTTTTGTGTTGTTTTGGAGGTTTTTGGATTCCAGCAGTCTCTGGTTTGTGACCTTGCTCAACTGCTTATATTGTGTGAAGATTACTAATTTCCAACACTCAGTGTTTTTCCTGCTGAAACGGATTATTTCCCAAAAGATCACCAGACTTCTGCTGACCTGTATGTTGATTTCTGCCATCACCACCCTCCTGTATTTTGGGCTCAAACAGATATCACATTTTCCTAAATTTGTGACTGGAAGAAATGGCACATTGTTTGACTTCAGTGAAGGCATTTTGACTTTGCTGGTCTCTTTGGTCTTGAGCTCATTATTCCAGTTTATCCTTAATGTGACTTCTGCATCTCTATTAGTACATTCCTTGAGGAGACATGTACAAAGGATGGAGAGAAACTCCACTGGCTTTTGGAATCCCCAGACTGAAGCTCATGTAGGCGCTATGAAGCTGATGATCATTTTCCTTATCCTCTATGTTCCATATTCAGCTGCTACCCTGCTCTATTATCTGCCTTCTTATACAAGAATGGGCCCTGGAGTCAGAGCCATCTGTTTGATTATTTCCTCTATTTACTCTCCAGGGCATTCTCTTCTCATCATTCTTACACATCCTCAACTGAAAACAAAAGCAAAGAAGATTCTCTGTTTCAACAAGTAGTGGAATTTCATTAGTAAACATTGTCTTGGGTCTTCTCATGATTTGAGAACAAGAGTTTATATTAGTGGTTTTCCCAATGATCGAAGAATTTATCTTTGTGACCCCTTATCTGATACTCTAGGCCTTTGAGTCCTTATATTTCAGTTAATTCTGCATTTTTGGCTAATATTTTAAAACAAGGTATGTTCTCTAAGGAACTTGTTTGAGGCATTGCTTATGTATTTATTATAGGCCAGTGGTGGCGAACCTATGGCACATGTGTTGTTTTTCTTTTAAGACAAAAAATGTTAATGTATGAGTTGTTTTTTCTAAACTAAAATCTCAGTATTCAGGTTTAATTGCAGTGTTGGGACTTTGTGATAAATAAGTTACAGTTATGGTTACAGTTTGGGCACTCCTTTCTAAAAGGCTCACCAGGACTGATATAGCCATTGTATTCCTGGCTAATAGAAATCACCCCATTGTTCCATTAGCTACTGAAGTACATATAATAGGAGGTTCCATCAAATTAAGGAATACATCATGGTGCACATTAATTAAATTGTTTTTAATTTAACTAGAGAGCCCTGACTAAGGGGTCAGCAGTAGGTAAGAAAGTGGTCATTGAAAGCCAGTAGACTGGCTTACAGTATAGCAAGAGGGGAGGGGGTGGTGCAGAAAGAAAAGAGAGCTAAAGGCTACAGAGAAAAAAAGGAAAGAAAAGTTAAAAAGAAATTGGTTTACATTGTGGGAAAAGATGGACAAAAGGTCTTCATATTTATTGAGTGAGAATAAATGAGCTACTACTATGAAGAAACCTAGCATTGGATTTCTAGGCTAGATATGGAAAGGAGAAAAGGGTCAGACCTGATGAGTGAAGGGAAGTGATGAATAATAATGAAGCCAAATCCAAAATAGTTCCATGGATCCTGAAACCCAGGGATAGCCTAAGGTTGAAAGCAAGTTCCAAATACTGAAGTCGGCACCATCAGAGTAAAAATTTATAGCGTACTATATATTACCATATGATACAGAATTCATTGGAAAGCCAAGAGCAGCCATTGGACTGGTAGTGGGAGTACTTGACTTTGGTGAACTTATTTCATTGGTTTCTGCATTTATGCACAACACAGTCCTCCAAGAGAACAGTTTCTGGAACTGGGACAATAGGAGTTTGGCTACAGAGGAACAAGAGTATGAAAATGTAATGTTAACAAATTTTGAAATGGGAATGGAAAATTAGTTATTTATAATTATGTAATTTAAAAAAACTGCTCATGTAATTTTTATAAAATGCTTATAGTATATTTACACATCTCAAAATAAATAAGTCTTAAAATTTTATAAATTGCCTCCCTTTTTCTGTTCTGGCCCCTAGAATCTTGACTGCAATATTCAGTAAGTTTTACCAAAACCAACATTTTATAGTATGAAACTTGAAGGAATTTGTCATGTTAGAATCTTTTTTTTTTTTTTTTTTTTCCGTACTGGGGATTGAACTGGGGTCCTTGGGCTTGCGGGGCAGGCGGCAGAACCACTGAGCTAAATCCCCAGCCCTAGAATCTTAAGATTAAGAGATAAAAGGATTACTGGGAGTAACGTATACAAGAACTCTAAATGAGTAGCAGAACTTTTCATGGGTCCCCCAATATCTGCTCTCTTCCATAGTAATCAAAGTCTTAGCTGTCCAGAATTATGGCAGCTAAATTCTATTTCATAGCTTCGTTTTATAAGCGGGTGCTCTATTGCCATGTGATCAAGTTCTGTTGATAGAGTGAGTCGAAGTGATGTATATGATTTCTAGATGTGCCTTTAGAGCAGTCATGGCCTCCTTTCCCCTTTTCCCATTTCTTCTCTTTTTTTGCCCATGGATTAGAATGCCAATGTAATGATTGCCCATTGTGGACCATGTACCTGAAGTGAATGCTTGAGAACAATGGAGTTGATATCCAGCCCAGAATTGACTACATGGTGCCTGACATGATGGAGTTGCCCAGTTCTGGACTGCTGATGTCTGAATTCTAGGACTGTTCGTGGGAAACATCTCCATGCTTTCAGGAACTCTGCTTTCATATCTGTTACCTCTGTCAAATAGCTTATGCCTTACCATAAATCCATACAATAACAACTGTCTTTATGATGAAATAGTGTACAATTACTTTTTATCTAGTCAAAGAACATTTTTATGACCTGCTAAATAAAATTTTTAAAATATGCAGTATGTAAATTTTGGTAAATTTTTATAAAAATATGTGCATCTGAATAAAAGTTTAAAAGGAAAATACATAAAAGGAAAATCATAAAAATATAAACAGCAATTACTTTTAGGTAGAAAATTTTGAATAAGTTTTTTACATTTTCGAAATTTTCTATGATGAATCAGTAAAAACATACTTTAAATGTATACAGTATACAGTCTATTTCCACATATAAATCTTTCTCATTTTTTCACTCTTTTAAAAAGTTAATGGATTAATGAGTTTCCTTTTGGCAGATTTGTATAAGCACATAGCATACTTTCATCATTTTCATCCCCTGTCATCCTCATTTCCCTACTCTCCTACACTAGTTTCACATTTTTGGGGAGCTTTCAATGCCTATAATGTGTTTTGCTCATATCCATTTCCTTTATTACCCACTCTACACCCCCATCCTATTTCCTTCCTCTTGTCTAATAATAATCTCCTTTTTACATTCTTGTCATCTTTTTTAGATTTTACATATTATGGAGAACGTATGATGTTTATCTGAGTTTGGTTTATTTTGCTGAACACAGTGGTCTCCAGATCCACCCATTTTCATACAGATGACAGAATTTTGTCCTTACTTGTGGCTGAATAATATTGCATTGGGTATATACGCCACATTTTCTTTATCCATTCATTTAGAACCCTTAGACTGGTTCCATATCTTGGCTATTGTGAATTATGCTGCAATAAACATTGGTATGCAGGTATCCCTTTAGTATGCCGATTTTAATTACTACCAGTATATATGAAGGAGTGGCATAGCTGGATCAAATGGTAGCTTTAGTTTTAGTTGAGAAACCCACAATGGTTTTAATAATTTACATTTCCACCAGCAGTGTAGAAGATCCTTTTTTCCCCTGCAACCTTGACAGCATATATCGTTTTTTGTATCATTGGTGATACCATTCTGACTGGAGTGAGATGGAATCTCAATGTAGTTTTGATTTACAATTCTTAATGACTAAAAATGTTGAACACTTTTTCATATATTTATTGCAATTTGTACTTCTTCTTTTGAGAAGTGTCTGTTCAATTCATTTTCCCATTTATTGATTAGGCTATTTGATTTTTTGATGTTAGGGTTTTTTTTTTTTGGTATCGGGGATTGAACTTGGGTCCTTGTGCTTGCACAGCAGGCGGCAAAACCACTGAGCTAAACCCCCAGCCCCAGGATTTACAATTCTTAATGACTAAAAATGTTGAACACTTTTTCATATATTTATTGCAATTTGTACTTCTTCTTTTGAGAAGTGTCTGTTCAATTCATTTTCCCATTTATTGATTAGGCTATTTGATTTTTTGATGTTAGGGTTTTTTTTTTTTTGGTGCTGGGGATTGAACGCAGGACCTTGGGCTTGCAAGGCAGGCCCTGGAACCATTGAGGTAAATCCCCAGCCCTTTGAGTTCTTTACATATTCTAGATATCAGTCCTCTGTTGAAAGAGTAGCTGGTAAAGATTTTCTCCTGTTCTGTAGGCTATCTCTTTACTCCATTAATTGTTTCCTTGGCTGTGCAGAAACTTTTAATTTGATGTAGTCCCATTTGTTGATTCTTGCAATTATTTCTTGTCCTGTTGGAGTCCTGTTCAGGAAGTCCTTGCCTGTGCCTGTGGCTTCAAGTGTTTCTCCTATGTTTTGTTTTGGCAGTTTCAAGGTTTCAGGTCTTATTATACCTATGTCTTTGATCTATTTTCAACTGATTTTTGTATAGGATGAGAGATAGAGATAGAATTTCAATCTTCTAGAAGTGGATGTGCAGTTTTCCCAGCACCATTTGTTAAAGATGCTCTCTCTTAGCCACACATGGTGGCCCACTCCGGTAATGTTAGCACTTTAGGAGACTGAGGCAGAAGAATTGCAAGTTTCAGCCCAGGCTGGGCAACTTAGCAAGATCCTGTATCAAAATAAAGAGTGAAACATGGCTGGGAATGTAGCTCAGTGTACAGGCCCTAGGCTCAATCTCCAGTACTTAAAAAAAAAGGTTGTCTTTTCTCCAGTGTACATTTTTGGCTCCTTTGTCCAGAATCAAGGCTCTAATTGTGTGGGTATGTTTCTGTGTTTCCTGTTTCATTGGTTTTTTTTTTGGTACTGGGCATCAAACTCAGGGCCTTGCGCTTGCGAGGCAGGCGCCAGAACAACTGAGCTATCCATTGGTTTTTATGTCTACTTTTGTGCCAGTATCATGTTGTTTTTGTTAATATGGTTATGAGGTATAAATTGAAATTAGGTATTGTGATGCCTCCAGCCTTGCTCTTTTTGCTTAGGATTGCTTTGGTTATTCTGGATGTTTTGTGTTTCATTTGAATTTTAGGATTGTTTTTTCTAGTTCTGTGAAGAAAGTCATTAACATTTTGATGGAGATTGCATTGAATCTGTAGATTGCTTTTGGTAATCTGGCCATTTTGATAATATTAATTTCGCTAATTCATGAACACGGGAGGTCTTTCCATTTTTTGGTGTCTTCTTCAATTTCTTCAGTGTTGTAAAATTTTCATTGTAGAGGCCTTTCACCTCCTTTACTAGATTGATACCTTGGCATATTTATTTATTAATTTTTTGTTACTAGGGATCAAAGTCAGGACCTTGCACTTGCCAGGCAGGCACAGCACCACTGAGCTACATCCTCGGCCCTTCCCTTGGCATTTTCAAAAAGATACTGTGAATGGAATTGTTTTCCTGATTTTTTTAATCAGCTAGACCAGTATTGATGTATAGTAAAACTGTTGATTTTTATATCCTTTTACATTGCTGAATTAATTATCAGCTCTAAAAGTCTTTTGGTGGAGTTGACAAGTCTCTTTATTATAAATACTTAAATCCTGCATTTCCTTCTGTTCTCTGCCTATTGCAGAAAAGAGTGTTAAAACTCTTTGTTAAGAAGATTCATTTTCTAGATAGGAGGGTGGTGCCAGAATAATGTTGTAAAACATCAACCACCCACTGTGTTAGCTGTACCTCAGGGACATACCATTTACCTTCCAACTGTTGTATGAGCTCCATTGTTACGTTATTGGCTCCTCACAACTACTTTGGTAATATGTGTACTATTATGCTCAATATATAGTGACAAAATTTAGGCACCAAGAAGCTAAGTAAATAATTCATAATAGTAGAGCTAGGAAGGGATTGAGCCAGGGCTCCAAGTAAAGTCTCTGACTCTAAACTCCAGTTTTTATCCTGTTGTATCACAATGTGGATGGAAAGACATACAGAGTGAAATCATTCTCAATAAACAGCTTTATTTTCTAGCATAAGAAGAAGATAGTCAAAATGATACCTGAAGTGGCATATGTCTAGCCTGAAGACCCACCCAGGCTATCCATGCATATATAAAGGGGGTGTGTGTGAGGATAGAAGCACAAACTCAGTTCATCCTGGGTTTTCAGATTGTGACTAATAGACTTTAGGTGCCTCGTGTCTTTATTGAAAGAAGTACTTGTGAAGAGAAATCACCAAGGAAAGAAAGAAAAATGACATTAATTAGATAACATTATTTGCTCGGGAACAAGCTAGTTATTTTCTTTTAGCATCACACAGTCTTGAGGTAAACATTATCATCTTTATTATAGAGAAGAACCAAAATTCAGAGAGTTAATTGACTGGTCTGCAGCAGCTAACTAGATGAATTGAGAGACAAATTCAAATCTACTTGTCTTCAAAACACATTGCTTTTCTACACATGGCTTTGTTTATAAATTCCTCTAACAGAAAGCCATGTGCTTTGTGTCCCATTGAGGGCTGGTACTGGCATGAACCTCTAGGCACTTTGCCTTGGTGGAGCTGACATCCAAAATCCCAGGCTGCTGTTTGTGTGGCTTGGCTGTTTCCTTAAGCATAATCTTACAGTGTTATGGGAACAACTCCACGCCCTAAGTCTCCCCTGGAAAAGCACAACTCTCAAGTTGCTAAAAATGTAACTAAATGTAAATTGTTAGTGCATTTCTGAGTTTTGACTTTTTTTTTGGTACTGAGGATTGAACT